GCCAAGTATTTCTTCATTTTCCTCTTTTGGTCTAAATGGATCATTTATTGGATCGAGTGCTCTGACAATCATTGGGTACTTAGCGGATAGTGACTTATCCATCAGAAATTGTTTCAATACCCTTTTGGTATAATTTGATTGGTGGATAAAGGTTCCACACTCCAAATGCTCAATTTGCAAACCAAGGCAAAATTTAGTTTTTCCAAAATCTTTGATCTCAAACTCATTTTTCAGATATTCAACAGCTTTCTGGATTTCATCAGGAGTTCCAATTAAATTGAGATCATCAATATCTACAGCAATGATTATGAATCCTAACCGATTTTCTTTATGAAAACAAATGGACATATATGGTCATTTATGTAACCTTCTTCTATTAGGCTTTCTCTGTGGTAATTGTACCATATTCGGCCTAATTGTTTGAACATATACAAAGATTTTTGTAATTTAATGGAATATGATTCTTTTGGCTTTGATTTGAATGATTCAGGTATGTTAATCCCTTCTGGAATTTTCATGTAGACATCATTGTCTAAGGAGCCATAAAGGTAAGCAATAACTACATCAATTAATCGTATATCAAGATTTTTGCGTACTGTCAGGCTCACCAAATACCTGAATGTTATTCCATCCATGATGGGTGACTATGTGTCTTCAAAATCGATTCCCGATCTCTGGGAAAAACCCCGGGCTACAAGCCTTGCTTTATATCTTGTGATATCATTATTTTCATTTTTTTTTTCTCACAAACACCAACCTGTAGCCAAGATGTTTTACATTTATAGGTGTTTGGACTACAGGGCCGAATACTTGCCATTTATTCAGTGAGTCCAATTCAGACTGAATTGCATCTTTCCATTTTTTCCCAATCATCTCTTTTCCGACAGTCATCAACTGATTTTGGTTCATAATCCTCATCATTTTTCATTATATCGAGTGCTACAAAATATGCAAATGCATCATCAATATTTGTTTTCTTTCTGTTACAATATTTTCCACTTGTGGTATAGTTAACAGAAGTTTCAATAACTTCACCATCATTTTCATCAGAATTTTTAGTATCAACCTCTTCAGGGGTTGTACTGACCTTTTCAGGTATCTGATCATTATTGATCTCTTCACCAGTATTTACAATTTTCTTCTTTCGTGGTTTCTTATCCTTGGAACCCAACTGTTTTACTCGGGCAGTATGCCCATTAGCACTCGACACTTTCCCTTATGGGATATTTATTTTAGTTGGTGCATTTTCTACTGCAATATATGATTTCGTAACTCTGACAGTATCATTAAAAGCATTAGGCAATTTATTTGCAATTTCTGCAAATGCACAATTATTTGAATATCAAGTTCACTATGTTTCGTATGAGGATCAAATTCAAATGGTATTTTCCAAAAATTTCTTTTTTCAGTTGATTACTGTCTCCCCCTATTGTCGGGAAATGAGATTCATCAAAGTGACAGTATGCAAAACTTGCAGTAAATAAATCACCCGTTGTTGGTTCAAAATATTTTGCAATCGAGGATGAATCACACCCGACATATATACCCAACCTTCTTTGAGGTCCCATTTTCGTGCGTTGGGGTGATGCAATTGGCACATAAACAACACACCCAAATATTCGCAGGTGAGATATATTTGGTATTTTTCCAGATACCAATTGAGTAGGGGAATAACAGTGATAACATGTCGTATTTATTTTTACGAGGGCTGCTGCATGCAATATGACGTGTCCCCAAGCTGATACGGAAAGTTTAGACCTCATTAACAATGGTCTAGCAATTAATTGCAATCTTTTGATAAGGGACTCAACCAGATCATTTTGCGTATGTACATAGGGAATAAGATATTCCACAGTAATCCTAATTGATATGCAGTAATCATCAAATGTATGTGATGAATACTCTCAAGCATTGTCTAAACGTATTTTATTTATCGGGTGATCTGGAAATTGTGTTTGCAATTTAATTATTTGTGCAAGTAGTCTAGCAAAAGCTAGATTGCGAGTAGATAACAAACATACGTGTGACTATCGTGTTGACGCATCAATTAGTACCATAAAATACTTGAAGGGTCCACACGGTAGATCGATAGGTCCACAAATATCTCCCTAAATTCTTTCCAGAAAAGCTGGGGATTCGAATCCAATATTTGTTGGAGATGGCCTGATTATTAACTTCCCTTGGGAACATGCAACATAAACAAATTCATTTGAACTCAAAATATTTTTCTTTTTCAATGGGTGGCCATTTTGAATTTTCAACAATTCGTCTCAACATTACATTGCCAGGATGCCCAAGTTGATCGTGCCGAGTTTTAAATTCGCTAGCAGCCATTTGGTCTACTAGGTGATATATTTCAACGGCACTGACTTTTGAATAATATAAGCCGGAAGAAAATGATGACAATTTTTCTTTCACAATTCTTTTGTCATTCACAATCTGAGTAATCAGGAGATATTCGTTTTCTGCCTCATTCAATGTTTCAATGTGATACCAATTTTTTCGAATATCACTGAAGTTCAGTGAATTCCTTCGAGCTTTGCTCGAGAACAAGGCATTTTCAATTGCCATTTTTGTCCCTTTAGGGAGAAATACAGTAGCTTTTCCCGAGCCTTCAATTATTTTTGATGCACCACTGATAGTAACAATAATGATCTTTCCCATTTTCATGTGAGAAAAATAACATTTGTTTTTCAGAATGTTGTGAGTCATATCACTATCGATAAGGCATATATTGTCATCGGCTCCAAAATATTTGGCATCCATATCTTTGCAAGAATGTAAAAATAATAAAAGACATGTATTAGTAACATAATCAAAATAGACTTTTATTATAATGGGTAATACAAAAAGGGGCAGAAAGGATCAAAATAACAAAAGAGATACAACAAATATTTTATCATTTAACATCATCAGCTATGTCAAGCAAATCATCGGCATCCGGGTGTGTGATATTTTCATTCATCACATCATCAAATGTGTCATCGTGGGCAGCATGGTTTGTTTCGGCAGCAACTTTTCCCTGCCTTTCTTTTGAGACCCGATACAGTTCAGCTAAGTGACTAGCTATGCGACAAACATGGGCCCAATGGCCTTTGATTCCACACTGGGTGCATTCTTCGTCATTGTTTCTGTTTCTCCCGGTATTGAACCTATGTTGTCGTCTGTATAGCCTTATGTCATTATAACATTGATTTGACACATATCGGGGCCTGTTTTGATAATTATTGTGACCGTATGCATTTGTCTGGCCCCGACCACAATTTTGATTTCGATCGCGATCAATTCGTTGATTTCTGACATGCCCACGACCACACACCAGATTTTTTGGTTGTATTGCATTTTTCTTTGGAAATGAATTTGCACCTTTCGGCCGTGATTCGTGATTTTCCATCAGCAATTCATTATTTTGTTCGGCCAACAAAAGAAAAGTGATCAGCTCAGAATATTTTTAGAGGTCTCTTTCGCAATACTGTTGCTGCAAAACCATGTTAGAGGCATGAAAGGTGGAGAAAATTTTCTCCATCATATCAGATTCGAATATATTTTCGTCACAGTGGCGTAACTGAGATGTTATTTTGAAAATAGGAGAATTATATTCTTGGACTGTTTTAAAGTCCTGAAGCCATAGGCTTTGCCATTCGCTTCGTGCTATTGGCAACAAAGTCAACCTCAAGTGATCGTATTTTTCTTTCAATCTCTCCCACAATTCAACTGGGGATTCCAGCGTTACATACTACATTTTCAGTGCCTCATCGATGTGATAACACAAAAAGATAATGACCATTGCACGATCTTGGCTAGGGGAATTTTTATCCCGAGCAATGGTATTTTCCAAGCCCATTGATGCCAGATGCATTTTAACATCGCGAGCCCATACCATATAATTTTAGCCAGAAACGAGGAGAGGGAGAAATTCATGTTTAGCAATGTTAGTCATAAGATAAAATATAAAATATTATCTTGCGGAAATTAAAATATATAATCGCGCTTATAACGTGTTGTATTATTATGATAGAACTAGTCAATAAAAATATTAATTATCTCTACCGCTAACTACTATTTTATATATTATATTATATATATAATATAAAGTATATATATGTATATGTAAATGTGTGTGCAGTTGTGGGTGTATGTATAATGTATAAGTAAGTTATTATTATATATATATATATATATGAGTTTGTATGTATGTACGTGTGGGTGTGTGATGATGATGACAATGGTGTAGTATGATATTTTTGAATGTTTGACGTAGGAAGATAGAGAGAATAAGAGATGTGTATTTCATTTAATTCAACCCATATTTATACATGCGGAAAACTTATATTTATACATGCAGACCTTGATGCGAAGGAATTAAAAAATACATATTGACTACGTAGCGCATGTGTGTGCTATGTGTATAACACAATAATTTATTTAAACTTTGATCCCTATTTTATGAATTTTTTTTCTCTTTAGAAAATTTATGTAAATTTGGTTGCCCAGGAATATTTAAAAAATAATAATATTTTAATATTACATTTGTCCTAGGATAGGTGACTATTTTCTTTTTTTACTTTGTCTAATTGATGATTTGTTTCTATTTTTATTAAATTGATTTATTTTAAAAATAATTAATAAATATAAATTAATTTAGTTACATTTCTAACCACTTACATATAATATAGGAACAAATGAAATATCTATTTTGGAATGAAAGTAGTATTAAAATGAATTAAGTAAAAATACTCTCTCCGCCAAAGCTATATTTCACCCGAATTGCAACTGTATCAACTTCCAAGGAGGCGATAGATATTTTGAAACAGGAATACATGGGTGCGAGGCAAGAAATTACAGTTAAATTGCAAATTCTACGTCGAGCTTTCGAGAGTTTGTTTATTAAAAAATTAATTAAAAAAATAAAAAATAATAAAATAATTACTATTATTTAATAAAATAAAAATAACCAAATTTTGAATAAATAAAATTATTTATCATTTAACTATTTAACTATGGAATAATAATTAACCATTTCATTACCACCTATACGGTTAGTCTCTCGCGTTATATATATATACGCCCACAAATGCTTAAACCCTAGCCGCTCTCTCTCTCGCTCGCTCGCTCGCTAAAACCCTCCTTCAGGTAAGCCTTGTTCTCTTTCTTCTGCAAAATTGTTTGTGTTCAGAGATCTTTTCTTGTGTATTTGCACGCTCTTGTTGAATAACCATTTCGAAAGGTGTCTGAGCTTCGTATTGAGATAACGCAATTTAAGGTATAATAAGAAGTTGCCGTGCTGTTTATCGTCTACGGCGAAGTAATCTCGTGCATTCATTCCCTGCGTTTTCTTTTGCTATCTGAGCGAATCTTTTATTAGTAAATCGTGTATCTGTGTTTGATCGGATCATTCAAGTGCTTCCTGTTTCAATTAGTTGGGGGTGATGCTTGGAATAAAGAAGAGGGTTTCTGTTGCAGATCCCTTAGTGTTCAAAGTAAACCGTTCTACCGGCTTCTCCTAAGCGTCAGTTTTGTAGCGTAGAGAGCTGTTATAAGCATTTTTATTTATCTTTGGCAATGTGTGTTAGTTTCTCTGTGACTAGGATTATTGTGTGGATTGTTGTGCGTTCGGACTATCCAAAGCTTATCATTATGCACTGTCAGTTTGTTTGAAAGTATGATGAAGAAAATCATGACACCAAAATTTCAGTCATCAGACAGTTTCACATATATATACAAAAATGCAAAGGATAAAATTATTAGGGATTGTGAGTCATTTGTTGTATAGGTGTTAGGAAGAAATTCACCCACTGAATTACTGCTACTTGCTTATTTATCAACTGTAGATTTAATTGACCTGGACAGCTTCTTGGAAGATGGCATTCTACAACAAAGTTGGGGCTCTACTGAAGCAGAGCATTTCTGCTAGTGGTGCCATGAATGGACAGCCTTCTATGTTTAACGCAATGCGATGCATGTCCACAAAGCTTTTTATTGGAGGTTTTCTTTCTTTTCTTCTTTCTGTTTGCTGGCTATTTACATTTATTTTTTCTTCTTGTCATGTGGTCTCATACACCACTCATTCCTTGTTATTACAGGCCTTTCATATGGAACTGATGATCATTCACTGAGAGATGCATTTACCTGCTTTGGTGATGTGGTTGAGGGTGAGTAAGATGGAATGGGAACTATCTTCAAATTTTTTGAATGTAAAATCGATTCTTATTATAATATAAAAAATAGATGTTTAATTTGATATTTGTAGTAGAAAAATTTTGAAGGTATTGTAGAAATTCTTTAAAATCCCTTGAACGAATATGTGCTCTACATTGGTTTCCCTATTTAGTTTAGTTTTAGGATCCTATGAGAATCTTAGGTATAGCTTCGTTTTATCCAAAATACATGCTTCTGATGTGAATTGAAACACTGGTTTGAATTTTATTTTTTTCTTTTTCGTGGCTGACCTCTTGGGGAATTGCCTGTATGTGAGTTGTGACTCTTAATTAACTATGAATGTGTTGGTATGTTTTACTGCACTTGGTTTTTAATTGATCTTCGGGGCGGGCATGGTTCAGTCTCAAGAATTTGGGTTCAGTCCTGAATCTCTATCTCCCTTTGTGTTTGCAGCTAGAGTTGTTACTGACAGGGACTCGGGGAGGTCACGTGGATTTGGATTTGTGAACTTCTCAAGTGATGAATCCGCCAGCTCAGCTCTATCGGCCATGGATGGACAGGTGTGTTTATCTTTTCTCTAATCAAAGGGTGAATTTCCGAGTTTGATGTGGTTTTTGTTACGGCAGCAATTGAATGGGAGGAACATTCGGGTGAGCTATGCACAGGAGAGAGTCCCACGAAGCAGCTATGGTGGTGGTGGTGGTTATGGGGGCGGCAACCGTGGGGGCGGCGGCTATGGCGATGGTGGTAGTAGATCAAATGAAAGCTTTTAAGAGTGAGGCGCTGCATATATCACATTATATAAATTATGATTATGGTTGTTTCTTTCTTTCGGCACTCTTAACTCAACTCTTCTTCAACAATGATGTGTTATAGTCTTGCGACTTACTTGTCCACTTTGCTGTTGCCTTTTTTCTGCTTAATTAGTTTGGCAAAATTCCTCATAATCCATACGTGATTTCAAGAGTTCGTACCATTCCTAATGATATGGAAATTATCCTTCCTGAATTTTCTTTTAGGAGTTCGCAATATTTTTGATAAACAATAGGGAATCTGGCCTAATCTCCAATGTATTTTATGTAATATTTTTTCAAATGATGGTAGCGAATATATATATATACACTTTCCAAAATATAAATTTTCTGCAAGTCCAGTCAAGCCCAATTCTTCTTAACAATAGTCAAAGCCCGATAATATATTTATAAAGACAGATTATAAGTTGGAGTTTATAGCTGTTTTAATTTTATTTTTTTTTTTTGAAAAAAAAAAATCTCACTTATTTCATAGATATGTTATCGTGGGAAATTCACCCTTTATTTTGCTATATAAATTATCTTAAACTAATTTTATTAGGGAGAAAGAACTTTCAACAATAGGGGTTGTAATGGGCAAACTTAATATTAATTCAGTGCGTCAGATACACAATTTCCTAGTGTATTATTTTTTTCTTAACCTTCATGTTTACAAGATTACTAATACTTTAACAAATTGAAGACAAAAAAAATAAAAAAGATAAAAAAAAAGAAATGAATAAGATATTTTTACTATCACAATGTTTTATTTTAGATTCTATGGTTGGCATATTTTATTAGCAAAATTGCGATCATACAATAATAACAAAATTATTAATATTGGCCCAAAAGTAGATCAAACACCTAGCAGCAAAAACGATCATTAAAAAATTTAGTAAATAATATGAACAAATTGTTAATCCAGTTAGGTTATACAAGACTTATATTTGGAGGATTCTAACTCAAACGTGATTCATTATCAAAACCATTGAAATACAAGTACGATCGAGCTACACATTCAAGAAATTGATTTCATTGTTTCTTGATCATTTCCAACTCTAATCTTATTCTCCAACCCTTCTTACTATCAATGATCGATAATCACTCTTTGTTTTTTCTTCAGACTTCTATAATGATCCCCTCACCATCTAATTCACCTCACTACCAAATTTGTTACAATAAACTCAAATTTCCTCCATTGATGATTCACCGATCTGTTACATGTGTCGTAACGGGACCACAAGAGGTTTCTCGGACAATAATAATGTGGGCCTTAATAATCTTTGCCCTCAGGTTGCAAAGGTCCAATCTCATGCTGCAACTCATTCAACGTCCAGACAACCTTCAAATATCAATCAAAATTCAATCGAGAAAATAACAAGCAACAATCTCCCATTTTTTTGTTGATGTTTTCCAACCACGAAGGAAGATAGAAAACATACTACTATCATATATACAATGAACTGCGAAAAATGAATCTTTACCTAGCAAAGAAAGCACAACCAACCAAAGGCAAGCCTAACCATTGTTCAAGTTCAACAAGAATGAAAACACCAAATACCTAATGGCAAATATGAACAACAACCAAAAGCTGTAAATGACAACAACTTCTCTCTTTTGGGAAACAATAATCTAAAAAGGAATATCAATTCATTGAATTATCGGACTCCTCTTTATCCATCACCGTCACCTCATCTGCCTCATCAATGTCGCCAATACTTCCCATAAGCATGAACCCAAACTATTAATACCAAACATTCTCATTTGACCAGAATGTTGATCACTTTTGTTGCAGAGATACACTGTCACGTTCAAACACTCTTCCAAGAGGACATCCATTACTGCAAGGAGCACATTCTAGGATTCCGTCGAAACTCTTCAAATTGATTCGAATCGAAGGCCTTGGTTAGAATGTTTTTAATATTAGTCTCAATGATCTTGACACACATTGGATGAGCAATCAATGTCCACACTTTACTTCTTTCGAATTGTGGTAGATCTTCTTGCTGTATTTTGAAGGACCTTCAGCTTTTGATTCGAAATTTTTGGCTTCAGAGTGCAGTTCATACGATGTCTAAATTGGTCTGACTCCTGTTCACTGTCAACTATTTTCTGCAGATCCGTTCCATTCAATTCCAATCCGTCTTCATTTTAGTCTCGATCTTTTTCTTCACCCAATTCACTGTAGAACTTCACATTGACTGATTCCATGACCTTCCCACTTCTTAGGTTATACGCCCGATTGTTATTTGAGTATCCCAAGAAGATTCCCTATTCCGCTTTCGAGTCAATTTTTCCCAACGCTTTTGTGTCATTTAGAACATAACATCTCTACCTGAAGTTCAAAAGTACTGGACATTTGGTATTTTTCCTTTTCAAATCTCATACGGCATCGACGTCATGTAAGGCCTCAAATAGATCCTATTGACAATATGACAGACAGTGTTAATTGTCGTTGCCCATAGATTCTTAGGTACCTCATTCTCTTGTGTCATACACCTTGCTATCTCCTGTAACATCATGTTCTTTATTTTAACAACGCCATTCTGTTGAGGAGTCTTGGGAGCCGAAAACTCATGTATAATTCCTCTTTGATTGCAGAAATCCTCGAGGGACTTATTTTTGAATTCTCGTTGGTGATCACTCCTGATCCTCATGACCTTGGATCCCTTCTCATTTGACATCTACTCGCACTATACGTGAAAGTTATCAAAAGCTCACTTTTGTCCTTAAAAAACCAAACCCAAGAATATCTTGAATAATCATCGACAATAACCATAATATATCTCTTTCCACCAATGCTCACAACTTTAGTAGGCCTTATAAGATCAAAATGTAATAGCTTTAGACATCTGATGCGCAAGAATCAAACAACCTGTGATCAATTCTCCTCTTATTTCCTTTGCAACAACCACCACATATGACAGTCTTAAAAATTGACATCTTAAGTAGTCCACGAACAGCTCCAAGATTACTAATGTTTATTAGATTCTGGAAATTGGTATGGCGAAGCCTCATATGCCACATCGTGAGGTCTTTTTTTTGAGTTAGAAACACTATTTCCGGAGTTTGAGTGAGTACATGGAATATTTTTTTTTGATCTAGCTCCCTTCATCATTATCTCTCTCACACTCCTAACCTTACAACCAATTTTTTGTGAATTTCACTTTCATGCCATCATCATATAGTTGACTGATGCTAATCAAGTTGGTGTTGATAGTATACCCTTTTAAGCTCAGGAATCCCTTTGAATTTCAAAGCACCATGCCCAGAGAATTTTTCATTTTGCTCCACTCCAAATACGACATTCCCATATTTTGTTTCACGACAATTCAACAGAAGCTCCCTATGATGCGCCATGTGCCTAGAACAACCATTGTCAAAGTACCATGTATCATTTTTTTCACCACTTAGCATGGAAAAAACAATTAAACAAGCTCCTTGATTTACCTTCGGTCTCTACACTAATCTTGCCATAATTCTATTCTTCACGTATTTTGATAGCTCAAATACCTTTCTGCTCAAGGATAAATCTTGCTTCATTCGATCACAGTCTAACACCTGATGTTCTGTTTATTTTCAGTACCTGCAATTCGACAGTTGTCTACCGGATCTTAGAATATTCCTTTGATTTTCAGAAAGATTTTGAACAAAATGTATTTCAGAAGTAACCTGATTGATTCTTAGTTGATTTTGAAAGTAATCCACCTCTGATAAATGTTGTCTAAGAAGTTCCAGCTCTATGAGTGTAGCCAATCCCACTATGATCATCGTATGGTTTCCCAACATTCAATAATTCATCGAGATTTTGTTTCTTTTTCATCAACCTACTAGTTTCACTTTCTAATTATTTCTTTTCCATTTTCAACTTGTTAATTTTCTCCAGCTGTTCATTAGAGGCTTGAACCAACTTTTCACTTTTGGCATAAAACTCATCATTCATTTCAGTTCATCTTTTATGTACTCTCATCATTATCTCAATGTTTTGTCCAACCTCATGACTCATGCTTTTAATTTGCCATTTTAGAGAACCACAATTTGTGTTAAGCTACTACCATGTCCTATATAGAGACCAATTATTCACCTATCATCTTAATATATTCAACATTCTTCTTTTCTTTCTTTTTCTCATCATCATGAATAGTAAATGGAACCACCTCATCCTCCATACAATTTTTGTTTGTCATGGATAGTTTTTTGCTCTTCAGTTTTTTAATTGTTCTATGTAACTTCCATGGATTTCTTATCCTTTCTCTTGAATGTTGCACACTCAGTTCGAACATGATCATATCCATTGTACCTATAGCATCTAACATCATCTGACACACCTTGTTTCTTTATCATTATAAGTGGTTTCGGAGCATCACCTTTCTGGACAATAGGTAGCACCAATTTTTTGAATGTTCTGAGTAGGATGTCTATCATTTGTCCTGACTTTGATCAGATTTCCAATCTAAAATCCTGTTGCTTCAGCCGCCTAGTCTTTTTATCTTGGATTATTCGAGCCATTCGTTTTGTGATAAGGGCAAGCTCTTCATCACTATCTTTAGCAGCAACAGTTTCTGATGTAAAGGCCACTCGACGTTGAGTTTTAGATGCCAAAAAATTCAACTCATAAGTCTATAAATTTCCAATCAACCCATTCAATGAAATTGTGTCCACCTTATCCATTTCATTCAATGTTGTGATTTTCGGAGAAAATTTATCTGATACTGTTCACATCAGCTTATACCACCTTTCTCTCATCAATATTTCAGACCCAATAGATGTGTTTGACTCACCACAACCTTGAATCATTTTGTGTAAACAAGAGTAGAGTCATCATTCCTCATGAACAATCGATCAAACTCACTTTCAACCATTTGAAGTTTAGATTTCTTAACCTTCTCATCACCTTCGGAGGTTTCAAGTAATGCATCCCATGCCTTCTTAGCAGTAGTGCAAGTAGACACAATCTGAAATAGTAAGAGATATACTCCACCAACAATAGCATTGATTGCTTTTGAGTTGACATTGCACCAAGCCCTTTCTTCAAGAGTGTATTTAATCTTTTGCTTTTCCACAACCATGGTCTATGCCTTGTCATCTTCTTTCCCTGTTGGATCAACCATAATGGTCTTTTGAGGAGTAGTCCATCCATGAACGGTTGAATCCCAAGATTCTTCATTGGTCAACATGGTGAAATACATCATTTTCATCTTCCAATATTGAAAGTTG